ACACATGTGTTATAGCCCAAACCGCACAATCCGATCATTTAGTAACGTCCGTTGACCTCACCCGTTCAGAACGGACTGAGTTCAGAACAGAACTTGTTTTCACCTCAACCACTGCCCATAATTTCCTCTAGTAGCAGATCTCGGTGCATCGTGAGAAGTTAGGTTTTGTCAGCATGACGCTGGTTCTGTGCCTCGTAACCGCGGTTATTGTAAGCCAGCTACACGGTGCAAATGCGAAGTTCCACCGTAACGCGGAAACGTGCCGCAAGACGTTACTCAACCAAACCCTTGGCGAGTGCTTCGACTGCATGCTTGAGCTGTGCCCCCAAATCCCGTGGCGCCTGCCCGCCGAGGAAGTCATCAGGTCCTGCATCAGCAGCCGGAACTGGTACAGCGACATGCTGCAAGTCGAGTTGCCGTCGAACTACATGACCAAGAACGACCTAACCTGGCTGAGACACTTTGGCGAGTGCGACGACGTATTCACGTGCCTCAACGTCGAGGGTAGGAAGGGACGACAGACGAGGGACATGGGCACTGGCAGAGCGACACGCAAGGAGTACAGAATGCTCACCGACGAAGAGAGGAATCGTTTTCACAATGCCATCATTCGATTCAAAAACCACTACGTAGGCGGACGAAGCAGGTACGACATTTTCCTGACCTTTCATATGGCCCATCGTTCTCCGGCGGCGCATTTTGGAGCCTCTTTCCTTCCGTGGCACAGAGAGTACTTGAAAGAGTAAGATATGTGATTTTTTACATTCATTCAAACGATATGTTTCAATAATTAATAACTTTTGTTAATAAACTGAACCGTCTCTATAGAAGGGACGAGATACAAGGTGTGGTGATAAACAAATTTTATAGCTACTCACCTTCTTACTCCAGGTCAACAAGACATCTTGAACTGCTCCTTCTCTCTACATTGATACCCTCGTACTGCAATGGAGAAGAAAGTCGAGAACAGAGTTTAAGGGAAAAGCGGAAACATTTCTCTGATGAATTTCGCAGGCAGAAGAACCATTCTGACATTTCTCCTTCGACTTTGAGTTTGACAGTACACATGGCTAATATGTAAATCTCTTTCAAAATGGAGGCAATGTGTTCTTGTGTTTTAAGGAACTTATACACTATTGGACGATGTGTTGAGCAATTATCCTAAATTTGTACTTTCGGTTGCGCTCGTATTTGTAGATGCTTTGGACTGTTGATTGTAAATATTCTTAAAATAAGTTGAGTCTCATCATGTAAACGAAACTATTGTTTAAAAATATGGTAATGTGTCCTGCAGGTGTACCGATGAGCCAACGACTGTCATTCCCAACTAGTTCCGCGAAATTTCGAGAGCAATTGCAGCCAAGAAATGTGTAGTTTCCAGGAAAATGATTGATGAATAACAGGTGCGACAGAAGTTCAGGCGAGGTTGGGAGGTGCTTGAAATTTTTGGTAGCTCTAATGATCTTCAAGTACCTGGTGGCTGATTCTATTTTGTGCAAAAGTAAAATGAGGACAATTACCTTGTAACAAAGTAATCCAAAGATGACAGACGATTTTTTTCTAAACAGGAAGTATTGCATTCACGGCTAGAAGTAACTATAACATTTCTCTTACGTCTGTTTTAGAATTGAACTCGCCTTGAGGACGTATGACCCTACGATAGGAATACCGTACTGGGATTCGACGCTGGATGAGGGTTTGCCTGATCCGTCCGATTCGATCCTGTTCTCTCCCGAGTTCATGGGCAACGCCAATGGTCGAGTGGTTACAGGCCCATTCGCGTACTGGCGTACAACTCTAGGCGGTTTCCTGGAAAGGGACGCCGGTCGGTCGGGTGCGCCGCTCTACTCGCCGTCTTCACTCGCATACATCTTCAATCGCAGCTCCTTCAGCCAGCTGACGTACTGCGTGGACCCCTTTTTTGAAATGGTAATAGTTTGCGTTTATTTTGTGTATAACGTTTTCATTTTAATACATCGGATACTGTAGGCACACGGCGGAATACACGCATGGGTAGGAGGGCCGATGGAGATCATAGAGTACTCGCCGAACGATCCGATCTTCTTCCTGTTACACTCGTTCGTCGACTACCTGTGGGAGGTGTTCCGGCAGACGAAGCAGACCTCAGAGGAGCGAGAAACCGATTACCCCCCTCCTGAACAATGCTGCAGTATCCAGCACTCGGCGCAGAGTACGATGCTGCCGTTCGCGAAGCGAAACATCGACGGCCTGTCGAATTCTTACCTGGACGAGTTCTACCATTACGAAATGTCGCCGTCTTGCAACAAGTTTCAGCCGTTCTGTTACTCGCCTTACCTCTTCTGTGACATCAACAGAAACAGGTGTCTGAGCAAAGTTATGTTGGGCGGTTCGTGCGCCGGTTTCGAGTTCACCGACATCTGCTACCAAGGAAGGTGCGTCAACGGCGTTTGCATTTGAGCGCTGCTCGTTCGCAGTTGTGTTCTTGTGTTGTTTTCTGCAAAATAAATTCGCCTTTTGCACCAGGCGGTGTTGCGGGCATTCGACTAAGTGCCAGACGAGGGAAACAGCGCAAGGGTCTTCGTCTTCCTCTGTCGGAGACGTAAGCACCGTTTCGTCATGCCTGTCTTCATGACAAATGCGAATGCATTCAACATGTGATATTGATCTAAACAATGCATGCGTTTTCTGCACATATGTGCTTTGCAACGATAACCGCGAAACTGATAGAAAGATGCAGCTCTACCGCCAGGTACTCATTTCTCCAACAGGACCTCAGTGGTCTTCTGACCGTTGAGGCAAAACGAACGAAACAGAAATTCTGTAACGGAACAGACTCGCTTACCCTCATATGGTTAGATGCCGTCTGTTGCACCTTTTAGCTTTCAGCGTAATACTTATCTCATTGTAACCTGCAGCCATTTCTTGATAGTAAATCTACATGTAATTGATAGACTTGCAAATCTTCTCCTCCTCCTTATAACCTCTCCCATTGCATCTAAGACGACGCCGGGTGCCATACAAGCATTCTACTGAGATCAAATAAATGGTGCTCACTCTTTCAATGCCATGGTAGTTCTCGCGACATCTTGGCATACTGTTGGCGTCTTCCTGCGAGCCTCCAGCCATCAGGCTTTGCGCTCAGTATCCACTTTGTCAGGTGATCATCTTTCATTTGTTGGCACTATCCAGTCAGTCAGTTTCGATGACTGCTTATCCATTCTGGTCGTGGAGGCAGATGCATCAGACAATGCTTCAAACGCTTCAACTGCAATTCCAGTGTTTAGGCATCGTCACAATGTAACACGAGTTTGGAGCCTAGTGTACCATGGCACCTGCTCCAGGCTCCACTGGGTTTGCGACTTATCGGTTGGAGGGGTGGTAGCTGTTTCGCCATCCTTTCTGGTAACTTTCGCAAGAACGTTCCCAAACCATTACAGCTGTCGCTTCTCTATCTAGAGAAGCCACGACTGTAGCTGTGCATGTCTAGAGGTCGATGTCTAGACGGAGAGCCCGGCGATTAGGCTTAGAAACCCCATTTCAGCCCTGACTTGGGACCGTAACGGAGCATCGAGTTGAGCATCAACCGGAATACAGCATGCTTAGCATTCAGACTCAGCTCTGCTTTAATCACAACGGTTCTGAAGTAAGTTACCTCCTGCTGTTTCCCTCTAGGTATGGAGATGTTCCAAATTTCGACTGTTAGACTTCACTCTCGGTAGCATTCACATGGAACCTGATCTGACGTGCAGCAACGGCACTGCGCTGTTTGCCTCCTCCGTTAAGGGATAGCGGCTCTCTTGCTGACTGGTGTGTTCTTCGTCCTTTTGTCAATATTCGGCTAGCGTTGC